CCAGACGTCAGCTTTTCAGTCTTGTTTTCTACTCTATTTCAAGCATGAGGACCCTGCCTGGCACATAGAGGGCATGCACTAAATATTTCTTCAGGCTCGGCGCCTGTGGCTCAAGCGGCTAAGGCACCAGCCACATACACCTAAGGTGGTGGGTTCGAATCCCCAGCCCGGGCCCGCCAAACAACAATGATGGCTGCAACCAAAAAATGGCCGGGCGTTGTAGTCCCAGCTACTTGGGAGGCTGAGGCAGGAGACTCGCTTGAGCTCAGGAGTTGGAGGTTGCTGTGAGCTGTGATGCCATGGCACTCTACCCAGGGGGATAGCTTGAGGCTCCGTCTCAAAAAAAAATAAAAAAAAAATATTTCTTCAGTACGTTTGCTAATTGAGTAACTAAAGGTGATAGAACTGACAGGGACGGTGTAGAAGAGTAGAGGACCAAGAAAGTATTTGGGGGGGGGATATCTATATTGTATTTTTATTTTTTTTTTTATTAAATGATAGCTGTGTACATTAATGCAATCATGGGGTACAGTGTGGTGTTTTCATACACAATTTGAAATGTTTTCATCAAACTGGTTAACATAGCCTTTATGTCATTTTCTTAGTTATTGTGTTAAGACATTTATATTCTACTTTTAGAAAGATTCACTTGTACCCTTGTAAGATAAACCATAGAGATGATCCCTCTAATCACCCTCCCTCCACCCATCCACCCCTCCCCCCTCCCCTCCCCCACCCCCTCCCCATATTCTTAGGCTATAATTAGGTTATAGCTTTCATAGGAAAGCTATAAATTAGTTTCATAACAGGGCTATGTACATGTGGATGTGGAGAAAAGGGAACACTTCTATATTGCATTTTTTAAAGAAAAAATACTTAAATTTCCATTTTTCAATTTTGAAAAATTTATAGAAATTTATAGGGTGCAAATGCAATTTTGCTGCAGGCCGATTGTCAGAGCTTTTAGGGTATCCATTGCCCAAATGAAGTACATTGTACCCATTAAGTAATTTTTTATTATCCACCCCTCTCCCACTCCCTCCCCCTTTCAAGTCCCCATTGTCTAGCCATCATTTCACTCTCTATGTGAAATATAGACCTTAAAATAATGACCGCCAGTTTCATCCATGTTGCTGCAAAAGACATGACTTAATTTTTAATGATGGAATAGTACACAATATTCCATTGTGTATATACACGTTTTCTTTATCCAGTCCTCTGCCGACGGACACTTATGTTGATTCCTTATCTTTGCTTTTATGAACAGTGTGTAATGAACATACAAGTGTAGGCATCCTTTTGATATGAATTTGTTTTCCAAATATTTTCCCTTTTATTGAGCCGATACATTTTTTAGGGGAGAAATTTTTCATGTGGAGAAGTTACGGAAAAAGTAAACCTCATAACATAGTCATTCCTGAGCTCTTGTCTCAAATGTTTGGCCAAACAACTTTAGTTTGTCTTTATTTCTAGATATGAAAATTGGCTTTCTTATTTGCAATTGAACTGATAACTGTTTTTTAAAAAATGTATATGAAAACTTCAAGATTGTGAGATTATTTTAAGAAAATTATTAAGGACCAAGGAATTCGATTTCTTTAAATTTAGGGGTCTACTTTTCTCTTCAGAATTTTACGAGCTTGGCTGGACTGCTGAAAGCACAGGTTTGCATTTCAAATCATCCCCAATATTGTCATAAAACATTGTTCTAAATTTGTAGGAAACAAAATTGTTTTCCTTGGCTTTTTGTTGTCTCTTAGCTTTAAGTGTTCCTTTTATAATCAGTAAGAAAATTTACTACCCTAAGGGAAAAATGGGTAAAGGACAGAATAGGAAGCTATTGCAATAAATAAATAGATTTTAACAACAAAGAGAAAAAGTATAAAGGAATTCAAAGAGCCAAAAACAAAATGAAAGACTGCTCAACCCCCTTAGCAATCAAGGAATTGAAAATTGAAGTAAGAAGATGTCGTGTTTTGCATATTAATTTGGAAAGAAACTGTTTGAGGAAACAAGGAATCATACACTGGACATACATTGGGCATAAATTGCCCTTTCTAGGAGCACTTTGGCAAAATTAAAAGCTTAAAAATACATTTTCCTCTGACCTACTGTCACTTCTGAGAATATATCTTAATGAAATGTAATTAAGCAGTACATGAATTTTTAGCTGTATAGATAATTAAATAAACTGTTATTTGAGGTAGCAAAGTGCTAGACATCGTCTGAATGACTGACAAGAGCAAAATTAAGTCATGGCCTATGTGTAATCCAGTGTAGTGGCATTTGGTCATTAAAAGTAATTTTATACCAGTTTATTGACATGGAAAGGTGCCGAAGATCGATTAAGCTAAAAACAATTAAAGAATAATTATTATGGCATTGTATAAAAAGATTTGTATAATTTCGAGTAAAAGAGATAGGAAAGATAAAGTGTAGCACAGACGTGTTTATCGTTGGTTATTTGTGAATCAGTAGATAGTGGTTGTTTTGTTTTGTTTTGTTTTGTTTTTATTGAATGGTAACTATGTACATTAATGCACTTCTGGGGTACAGTGTGGGGTTTTCACATGCAATCTAAAATACTTCCATCAAACTGGTCTACACAGCCTTCATGTCATTTTCTCAGTTATTGCTTTAAAACATTCACATTCTACTCTTAGAAAGATTCACCTGTACCCCTATAAGGTAAACCTCAGAAGTGATCCCTCCAAACCCCCTCCCTCCACCCATTCCCCCCTCCCTTCTCCCTCCCCCCTCCCCATATTCTTAGGCTATTTGGTTATAGCTTTCATATAAAAAGGTTTAAATTAGTTTCATAATAGGGGTGTGTACATTGGATACTTTTTCCTCCATTCTTGTGCCACTTTGCTCAGAACATTCTCCAGCTCCATCCATGTGAACATGAAGGATGTAAAGTCTCCATCCTTCTTAATGGCTGCATAGTATTCCATGGTGTACATATACCACAGTTTGTTGATCCATTCGTGGATCGATGGGCACTTGGGCTTCTTCCATGACCTGGCAATTATGAATTGGGCTGCAATAAACATTCTGATACAAATATCTTTGTTGTAATGCGATTTTTGGTCATCTGGGAATATACCCAACAAAGGAATTGCAGCGTCAAATGGCAGGTCTATTTTTAGTTCTCTAAGTGTTCTCCAGATGTCTTTCCAAAAGGAACATATTAGTTTACATTCCCACCAGCAGTGTAGGAGTGTTCCCTTTTCTCCACATCCACGCCAGCATCTCTGGTTTTGGGATTTTGTGATATGGGCTAATCTCACTGGAGTTAGATGATATCTCAGAGTAGTTTTGATTTGCATTTCTCTGATGATTAAGGATGGTGAGCATTTTTTCATATATCTGTAGGCCGTACGCCATTCTTCTTTGGAGAAATTTCTCTTCAAGTCCCTTGCCCATCCTGAGATGGGATCACTCGTCTTCTTCTTGCTAATACGTTTAAGTTCTCTATGGATTCTGGTTATTAAACCTTTGTCAGAGACATAACCTGCAAAAATCTTCTCCCATTCTGATGGCTGTCTGCTTGCCTTACTTACTGTGATAGTGGTTGTTTTTACAAACTATAGAAATGATCCCTGAAAGCATAGTCTTTGATAGTGGTTGTTTTTAAATACTTTAGTAATTTGTTAATGACTTCCCTATGGGGAATACACATGGTTTTATATTAAAGTGTGTGAGCCTTTTTTAAATGTAAAGATATATAGTTTTGGTTTACAATCTCCCTGGAGAAAACCACAGAAGCATGTACAGAGGGTGTGAGTAAGCAGACTACATAGGCGACCATTGGTGAGCTACACTGTTTAGACAGAGATGCTTGGACTCACAAGTGGTAGAAAAGATACACATATAATGTCAACTTATACCCATTTGAGTTGGAAAAGAGTAGAAATTTGGTGGGGGAGAAGGAAAATCGTATTCTAGTGAGAGTCTAGCCTGGCATACTCATTCTGGAGGACCATTCCAGAGAGCACATTTAGTTTTTCTGTGATCAACCATCATTTCAACTCTAGGAATACAGATTTGTATCACAGTGTTTACTGTGGCAACAGAGAGTGAAGATCCCTGAAGGGTCATCTCTGGTGAGAGGGGACAGGTAAGTTGTGGTTGATGAAATGACCAGCAATGTGGTTATATTTGGAAAGGTCCCTGGCCAGGGTTGCCAGGTAAAATACAGAACGCTCAGTTGAAGGTGAATTTCTGATCAACAACCAACACTTCTTGGGGATAAATATATCCCAAATATTTGCTGAATCTGGCAACCCTTGTCATAGACCTATGGAATTTATGAAAATCCAAATTAAGGGCAGAGGTCAGTCAACCTAACATATTTCATAAGAATACGTATCAACACATTGAAAGCTATTATGTCCGTGAGGGAAGAGAATGTGGATAAAATGGAATACCTAGTACCTAAATAGAGACGTAAAATAAGAGAGGGCCTTTAATGGGCAGGTGTTGACAGTGAGCTGAGTATAATTAACTCACTTCTCCACAGCTAAGTCCAAAAAGAAATTTTAAACGGTTTTTCTTGCAGTCTCCTTGAATTTCATTACTAAAGTCCTGATGACACTGCCTGGCTGGTAAATGGAATGTTCTGTTCTTTCCCACCACCACCTCCCCCACCCCCAAATCTCTATGTGGAACTCTGGCACTTCTAACAAAATTAGGTAGCAAGAAAGTAAGTAAGTAGGTGACATGGGGCTCAAGAGGAAAAAGAAAGCTTAGTGATTGTATAAACCTGGTTAAAAAAAAAAATGCAACAAATAAATCCGCTAAGAACATTGGTTCATGTAGATTGGCTCTTTAATAGAGGGACGTGCTTACATCCATATAGAGCAAATATTAGCAACCTCTTAACTATTAACATTGCCAGAAAAAATAGGCCAAGTTTAAATTTAACCACTGGAAAATGATAGTTCAGTACATGTCACCGAGGCACTCTTCTAAAACCTTTTTCTTTTTTAATGTTACAGCTGATTACAAGGAGAGCTTTAATACGATCGGAAACATCGAAGAGATTGCGTATAATGCTGTTTCCTTCACCTGGGATGTGAACGAAGAGGCGAAGGTGAGTGGTGAGGTGGCTTCTCACATAATGTGCCCTTTCTCTATAGGAGATTCTTCCCCTAAAGTCTCTATACGTGGCCTCCCATGAAAAGAAAATGGACTTAGTATCTTTTGTCTTCTTAGAGGGGAAAGGGGGAAACGGAGTGTGCTTCTCTTCTGTGCCTCCTGCAGAATGTGACCAGCCAAATCATTTCGGCCCCAAGCTCCGTTTCTGCACTTGGAGCTGGGAGACTGGGCCAGAAACCCTGCAGGTTCCCACAAAGGCCCCCTGAGGCCTTTCCTTGCAGCCTTCTCCAGAGGCAGAGAAGGGCTCAGAGTCTTAATAGCTAAGGGACTTGGTGGGGCCCCTGACCCCACAGCCCCTTCCAGGATTAAGTTGGTTGAGAGAGGGGTGCAGGGAGCAGGACTGCCCAGTTCTGAGCTTCACTGACTAAAGTGCAGCCGTCACTGTGACCCTGAGTCACTTCTGTCAAGGTCAGTTGCTTAAGCTTTTTCTATTTTTCTGGGTACCAGTAGTGCAAGGGTCAAATCTCTGGCGAGGTGAGCCCCGAGGAAAGTCTTCCACTGCTGCGTCGGTTTGGATCAGAGCATGGACTCATTAATACCCAGATTTGCTTTCCGGCCACGAGTCTCTTTGATTTTGCACTTAAGGGAAGGTCCCAGATGAAATCTAAGCTTGAGCAGGCTGTAAGAAGACTTTGTCTTCAAACTAATGGAAAGGTCAATGTAAACAACTCTGGTCAATGCTTTATTGTCCAGGAGCAGGGGAAGGCTGGGCGAGAACCCGAGTTGAAGTTTGCAAATAGAAGATAAAACAATGTAGATGGAACTGCCTTTAGGCCCAAGCAAGGTGACCCAAATGAGCAAGTAGTGACAGTCTGAGTGCCAGTGCAGCCTGGAGAAGGTTCCAGTGGCTCAGCACCTCCTTTACAAGGAAGCAGGCCTTGCCACAGGGTGCCAGGGGAGCTGGCACAGAACTGCAGGCAGAGCTTTCTCTGAGCTCCCCTCCCCCTGCATGTAACGTTCCCTGCCCAAGCCCTGTTTGGGCAGCATTTTATAAATCCCCTGCACCTCTTTCTCCTCCTGAGAACTCCACGGCTCTCACACTCAGGTCCGTCTATCCTTTCCCATGTTCCTGCCTGACGCCTCCTCAGTCTAGCCACTGCTTGTCCTTCCCTCCCTGCCCTGTGCCCAGAGATGGCAGGTGACCTACTGGATAACTGAGAGGTGGTCTGTGTGGCCACACCATAATAGGATGTGTCAGAAGCCTTCACAAGTCATCTGACCATGCTGGGCCTCCATCCCCCCATTCAAAACAAACCAAGCAGGCAAACATGTTTCCAGACGTCTCCAGGACAGCATGCTGACAGTGTGATGTCTGACCCTCCCACTCAGGAGAGGGAGACCGGGAACCAATAGCTCTACAACAGTGAGACTGTGGAGAGGCCTGGCCTGTCTCCCAGTCCCCGGGAAGAAGCTGGGATTGTGTAACTGGAAGAGTCTTATCAATGTTAAAGCAAGCCATAACTATGAGCTGTGATAATCACCGTGATTTTCATTATCATGCAGTCTGAGATCACAACTGCTCGTGGGTAAATGTGTTAACTGTTGCACCAAACTAGAAGGGACAGTTTCATGCAGGAAGCTGCAGGCTCTATGGTAAACTGAGCCATAGTTAACTTGGGGTCGAGTTGTTGACCTCTTAGCTCACTTCCTGCCATCCACTCATTTACTATGAGTAGGAACTTTTCTTTGCTCAATGGGTGAGGGGGGGTGTGTTTGTATGCGTGTACATGTCTGTACATACACGTATGTGTGTACATGTATGTTCTAGGCAAACAAGTTTAAGCTCACATATGCTTTGACACATTCCATGTAGTTGCAAAGTTAGTTTTATTTCATCAGTATATAATTTTAGTGACTGTTGGTTGTTGCAATTGTTTGTTTGACATCCGGGTGAATTAATAAGTAATAGAAATAAATAGTTTTAAATAATTTTCTCCAAACTACCATAGGGATTTTTTTTTTTTTTCTACCATAGGGTTTTTAAAGAAAAAACATAAAAGTTAAATCTACTTCTTTAGGGAGGCTGAGAGGATGTTTTTTGTAACCTGCGGAGTCTAAGGCATTTCTTTAAAATATCATTGATTTTATAACAAGCAGACTACAAGAAAACAAAATCGCCCAGTTGTTGAAAAAAGGTTTTCAAAAAAGCAAGAAGTAAAAGGCATTCCTCTCGCAGTGGAATTGTTTGTGATTCTCCTATTATGGACTTTTCAGGAGCTGCATTTGCTTTCAAATTCTTTTTTTTTTTTTTTTTTTTCTGAGACAGAGTCTCACTCTAGCTCCCTGACTAGAGAGCCGTGACATTTCAGCTCACAGCAACCTCAAGTTCCTGGGCCCAAGCAATCCTCTTGTCCCAGTTAGTGGAGACGGGGTCTGGCTATTGCTCAGGCTGGTCTTGAACTCTTGAGCTCAAGCAATCCGCCCACCTTGGCCTCCCAGAGGGCATGGGCCACCTCATCTGGCCTGCTTTCAAATTCTTGTGGGGCTCACTCATACAGAAATCTTTTGCAGGGATGGGGTCCCATTCAGGATACATGATAATTGGTTTGTGTGACTAGAGGACACAAGCTTGTGACTTGTAGCCTTTATGTGGTCTGCAGAATATATACATGGATATGCATATTATGCGTGTATGTACCTATATTTCAAAAATTTTTGCCTCACATTTAATAATCAGGAGAGTATATTTTTTAAATCCAAGGTTTTAGAACTTTTGGATAATTAAAGATTCTGGCAATATTTAATGGGGACTGTTTGGAAGATGACGAACGGTGCTTGTGAGCATGGCTGCTCTTTTTGTCCCCCTCTCTAGTTTTCTCCACTGGAACTTCCCCTTCCTAGTCCTGGTGGACATTTAAGTTTTCATGGCTGACCACATCCCCCAGACAACTGAGATGCAGCTTGGATCTTCATGGGCTTTTGGTATTGGGGAAAGTGGTGACCCAACAGAGGTTGAAACCATAGGTGAGCTCGGTCCAACCTGTTGCTCAGGGGAACAAGTGGGTAAGGCAGCAACATCCCCAAGCCCTTGGTTCTCAGAGTGCAGCAATGGTGGCAGACCAGAGGCTGACTCCCGCCACCACCATACCGCACCATCCTTTTGCATGCCCACAGTGGTAGTAAATCATGATCTTTTAGAAAACATAAGAAACCACTTGCATCTAAATGTGAATACATATCAACAATTTAGATAATACCACTTGATGGTTAAAAATGAGATTTCCTTCTTTCTTTTTTTTTTTTTTGCACAAACTTTTATAAATTGTCTTCAAAGCAGCCAGTGTCAGAGGAGACTCTATACAAAAAGGCTTTAAGCCTTGGCGGCCTCATTGGACAAAACCATTTGTCTTCCCAAGATGATTATGTGAAATGGCAGCTCTATTCGGATATTTGCATTTTGATGCATTTATTTAAAATAAAAAACCAGCTCAGTGTTTGGTAGTCTGGACACAGACGCATGATCAGGTCCTAATGGTAAGGTTCATAGATTTCTCCAGAGCGTGCTCCTACGTCCTCCTTTGGTTGCTGACTTACATTCTATCTGTATCTCTCACGTAGCATGGCCAAAAAAAAAGAAGGAAAGGACATGAAACTCTAGATCATTTAATTTAATTTAATTATAGAAAAACATTTGGCCAGGGAAGGTGTTAAAAGTATTAGTTAAAATGAGGTTTCAGGATTAATTCCAGATTCGCAGGGTATTAATTGCAGCCCGATTCTGGCAGAACTGTTGCTCATTTCTTCCAGCCAGAACCGGTTTTGCTTGTTGGGCCGTAGTGTCATTCTGCACAGTGACACAATAAGCAGAAATCATCTCCAACAGGACCTGCTCTTGCCCTCTGGGTCTGTGCCGTCTGGGTACCGTGAACAGGTGTCCCTGGGTTTCTGATGCCTCGTGGGTAGGTGAGGTTCTGAGCGTCCATACTGACACGTGTTGAGAATTGAGGGGGGACAGAGCCAGCATGATGCCTCAGAAAGAGCACTGACTTGGGGTTCAGATAACCAGATTCTCATCCTGGCATTGGAGTAGCTGGCGTTTGACTTTGTTGAGCTTCAGTTCTCAGCTGTAAAATTGTGGGAAGTGTGTGGGTGGGGAGTTGAGGGGATCAAGGTCCCATCCATGTAATTCTAATGGGAGGACTTCTGTGCCACATTCCTGCACATGACTCCCATTTACAAGGATGTTTTAATTTTCTTTCTCTCCTTAGCCTTAAAAAAGTAGATGTATTGGTCACTAATCCCCGCCATGAAGAATTCCCACGCAAGACCCTATTGAATTATTGAAGACCTGTGAGCTCAGATCCCTGGCACTGAGCACTGCCTTTCTCCAGGAGATGATGTCACCCCGAGAGCATAGTGCAACAGCCCTAATTATAGGCTTCCCTTTCTCCCAGATTTCTAAGGAGTTTCTTGAAACTGGGCCCCTATTTTTGTTCAGTACTATTTTCTCTGTTCACAATGATTGCAAGATTAGACCAAGCTTGGTGTGCTACAAAGACTGGTCTCATGTGACTGCAAGGAAGGATTACTTGAGCATTAAGATGCTGCTTAACTTTGAGGAACACGTTTCCTTTTTGTGTCTTTTCACTGGAACACCAAACCAATCCCTCCCTGTCTATGGTTTCTAAACTACATAAGATGAAGGAGGCTTCTTTCCATGAATCTTTTGTTAATCACTCTACATCCAAGCCTTTTGAAATGATCTTGACTCAGAGAAAATATTCACCACCCTCACCACTAAATAATGAAGCAAACAAACAAATCCACTACTGGCCTATCCCCCGTCCTATGATATTTTGCAAAATCTATCATAATTCAATAATATGAAACTGTGTCACCCTGGGTTATTCTCCCTAGATTAGTGTCTCTGCTTTAGAAGCACAGTGATTGCCTTCCTGAGATGACCTTCCACCCAGGGTGATGACATGCAGGAGG